ACCGTGTCCGCATCTCATAACATAGTAGATAACAACTCTATCTCTGTTTCTCTGCAAAATGCTTAAATCGGTCGCCAAATATACCGAGGCGGCTGACCAAGTAAAGTCTAAATGTGGGAAATACTGCTACATGTCTCCACTGCAGATCCAATATCCACAACCTGGAGCAGTAACTATTATATATGACTGTATTAGTATACTGTTAATATATAAATTATATGGTAAGGTAATTACACGGTAGGTTATATGGTATGTAGTGTGCTCGTAAAGACGGCACGGACTACCTTGTGATTGACAGGTTGCTACCATGGCGAAGTGTCAATTGGGATAGAGGCGACTTGTTATCCCCTGCTCTGTGTACATTTTTTTTATTAAATGGCTGTCAGCAGGAGAGAGAGCACTTCATGTCTGGGTCTGTTAGTATGTTTTGTTTTAAAAGTATTGTTTTGTTAACCTTTTATTTTTTTTTATAAATAATTGAGTGAAATAGTAGCGCTGTAGAGCCCTGCAGTGTCGTCAAGGACCGCCTTTTTGGATTTCATTTGAATTACACCATGTGTCCAACAATTGTCATTTTTCACCTGGAACAGCCCAATATATAATTAAAAGTAGTGATGCTCCACTCCAATAGACTAGATTTGTGTGAAAATGTGCAGGGTTTTGATCGCTTACACACACAAACACACACCCACCCACCCACCCTTCCCCCATCAGTGGAATTTTGTTCCCAAGGCTGCCTGGCATTCCTCACTGCTGCATCATGGGAGTGTGTGTGTGTGTGTGTGTGTGTGTGTGTGTGTGTGTAGTCCTGCTGGTAAGAGATAGCATATCAAGCATCCTGCTGTTGTTATTTTGGCAATGACTGATGATAAGGCATCCATCTCTCACCTGTCTTTATTTTTACTGCCCCACTCTTTCTTTCTCTCTGTCTCTCTCTCCCTCTCTCTATTTACTTCTACCTTGCTTAAAACAACGGACTGTCTAAAATGCACACATGAAGGCACATTGCAACGGGGCTCAAGCACCATTTGCTTAAATTCTATGTTCCCTGTGACCGAGTATGGTCAGATACCTGCAGTGATAAACACTCCTATAGCATTAGTTGTTGCTTTGGCATGGTCTGAATCTGCAGCGAGAGGCTGCCTGAACGCTGTGGGGAGAAGCACTTGCCTTCCACTCTGTTTTAGTCTTGTTCTGCTAATCACATTCAGGTGATGTTGTTGTAAATGACATACCCAATGTCGGTACACAGTTTGACACTAATCGTTGTTCATTTTTGCTGTAATTGGTTGAGCAACCATAACTAATGCTCCCACGCAGTGAATCTAAGTGTCATGGAATGAACCTCCAGCCGTGGGACCTCATTACAGAAAAATGTCCTAACTGCTTGTCCTATCTTAACTTCAGTTTCAAAGATCCCATCTTCCAGAAGCATTTCCTAAACTCTTGGCCTCGCACATCATCTTAACCCAAGAAACCCTAACTACAGTAAACCCTGTCATTCCTGTAATAGTGTTTAGGATGAGACTGCCTGTATCCATGACAACTGCTCTCTCACTTCACTTGTCAGTGGCTAGCTAGCATACTATGATGGACAAGAAAAGACAGGCTTCAATTTTAGCTTCAGTTTTAGTTTAGCAGTTTATCAGAGGCATTAATCATGTCGGTGGAGGAGAAGAAACCCCTTCTTTTGGGAAGATTTCAAAATTATTGGCTCAGGTAAAGATTTGAACAGACGTAGCACGTCAATCAAATTCAAAATTAATTGTCTTGGCAGTCACACATATATACCCATTAAAGAGGTGGTATTATGCTCATTTTCAGGTTCAAAAACGTTTACAACAACTCCGCATTTGAACAGTCTGTGAAGTTACACTGCCGTGTTTATTTTAAATATAATTCACAACCAATTAAGCATACTTTACAGGTTATGATTGTGAATTTCCAGGCCCAAACAGAGTCAGGGTTTCATCGTCTTTTAGGACTAAACATTGAACTGTTGCCGGTGTTCTGACGATCTATGCTGCCTTGCCGAAAAATGCTACAATAGCGCAAATCGATAGACTCGACTCTACTCGGCCCTGCTCCGTTTTCCATTGCAGGTAGTAGATGAGAGAGATGGTACCTAGCTTGTCGTCATAGCGACGCCACACACAACTGCCGTGACGTAATGTTCAATGCGACACACACACCAGCGACCCACACAGCTTTCTCTTTTTTAAGTTAAAATGTTTTCCTCTGCCGTTGTTGCTGCAGCGGTCTGTGTGACGGCGGGAGCAGAGGGCTCTGTGAGCGGGCGGCTGGCCGGCCTCACACGCTCCTCCCACGGGTTGCCGCAGGCTTCCCCCGCAGCCACGTGGAGCTCCTCAACTCCGAAAACTTTCTAGCACATTTTTGTTCCGCCATCACTTAAAATGTAAAACTGTCAATATTCAATTCAATTCAAATCTACACAGCTGATTTCTCACCTCAAAACTTCTCAGAAGTGGATTTAGTAATGAAATTCCATATGAAAACTGTAAAATATAAAACTTTCTGTTGCTGGCCTCTGTCTGGCGCAGCAGTGATGATGCAGTGAATAGTGAATATTCTGTCGTGTTTTCACGTTACATTTTAGTATCTTTCAGCTCGCTTGGAACCTCGACGGAGGTGAGGTGATATGAAAAAAAAGTACCTGGAAGCAGGTACAGGTACAACATTTCTACAATGAGCCTCCGCTCAGACTAGCTTGGTTTGAGGGCGTGCCTGACCCCACTAGCCGCTTGGCAAGCTTTATGACGCGTTTTCATTGTGAGGTCACAAGTAAAGGAAGTGAAGGGCTGAACCACAAACGAGCTGTTTTCAAGCGGTTCAGAGCAGAGTTTTCTGTGGGAGATGGGAACTCCCTTTGGGCTGGACTTTGGGTTTTTTCACTTTGCAAACCTGTTACATGCACAAAAAAGATATATAACTCAATAAAGGAGAGGGGAAAAGCCAAAAAGCATAATACCACCTCTTTTAATATATTAAACCAGGAATTTAAAGCATCATCATGCCGTTTGAGTAGCCTTTCAGTCATAATATTTTGGTGTTCATTTTGTTCCCCATCATTTCAAACAAAACGTTTCTGTAATGAGGCCCCTGGTCTTTCATTTGGGTCAGATGGCAGTTTGGGACGAATACACCCCTACTACACAGTAATCCTCTGTGTGTGTGTGTGTGCGCGGGGGACCACCCACATGTTGACGAAGCTGTTGTCATGGTTTTGGTTTTGTGTGGCGAGTGGGGGCCGTGATGATGATGATGTTGTCTCTGGACTGTTAAAGAAACAGAGGTAGAAATGACTGGGCCATGAATCTTCTAGTGTTTTAAGTAGTCTGTAAGTCAGCGTACCAATGTAAACACAGTAAACTAGTTGCTCATTCAGTACAATAATTAGGTCAGGTTGTGAACCAGCAGTAACTAGACTGTTCTGTCATCATCCAGGCAGTCAAACCAGTTAGGACACACAGTAAATGAGTCACTCACTAAACCAATAAACTAGTCATGGTTTATAAACTGGCAGTCAGTCCACCAGATCGGTAGCCTTTAAAGGATCTTTCTGGTTTATTACAATTTGGACAAGTAGGGTTCTGTAGCAATAATTTCCTTTCCATGAACAATGGGATCAAACCTTTAAACCAAAGTTGGAACTGTTTTGGGTATTACTAATGAGAAATATCTGTATTGTGTTTTTCTCAAAAGTTTGAAATGGGATGGGGCTGAGTTTGGAAAAAGTGATCACAACAAGTCACAATGTCTCTTCCTACCTCATCTGATCAAACCACACCAACACAGTCCCGATAAGAGATTAGCTGTTTTTTATACTGTTAAATTCTTAAGAAATAAGAACTACCAATATATTTTCCAAACTTTAACATTGATTGAACTTTATTTTGTTATAAACATTTAATGTTCTAGAGAAAATACTGCCATGGCTTACTAGGACACTTGAATAAAAGGGAGCACTTGTTAATGTAACACCTGTGCTTTTCCTACTTTCAGCTGTTTCTGCCAAATTTGTTTAATTTCAAATTTTTCTAAAACGTTTTACCTCCAATAAAGTGTTTTAGGGCATACTCACAGTAAGCTGGGTTTCCTTGAGGTGCCCGAGCACGATTGTCCCCTGTCCCCGCTGGCCCGCGCTCATATTGCGCCTAACGATCTGAGCCTGAGCACGTTTACGTCATTACTCTTTTGAAAAAACAAATTCATGTACAAACTGGACTTTGGGGGTTAAATGTGCTCGGGCACGGTACGGGTTGCCTAGTGTGAGTATTAGACAAGTGTTGGACAGTCAGGCTGCACATCTTGTTTGCAACGTGTCTGATCATCTGATTGCTTGTGTTTCTTGACATATCGGGAGTTCCCAGAATGTTGTGTAATAAAATGACTTTATTTATTTAAGTAAATACTTGTTCATTTGTTTTGTGAAATGTTGTAAATATGTCAGTTTTGAAATTGAGGACTTTGGACTTTGGACCTTTGGGTACCAGTACTGAATTTCGGGTACCAGTATCGCTTCAAATACGAACGGTACCCAACTCTAGCCAAAGATAAATTGACACTGTTCACGTGACCTGGGTCTGATGGTGTATAGGGTTGGGCCGATAGACGATGCCAGTCTGCTCCACTTTCTCCATCAGCAGTATGTTTTATAAAGTCGCCCGAAAAACACAGAACTCGTCTTTTTTCCGTATTTTTCCACCCGCGATCTGTTATCACGACAGCAGGTGAGCCGCTTGTGGGCTTGTTAACGACGCAGCCTATCAAACAACCGAAACCCTGTGTGTTCACTGCCGCTTTACCTGGTCTGTGCTTGTAAAATATCCACTGCGACTTGTAACGTCATAGGCTACCAAGTAGTAGACATCGACCAACCCTAATAGTTTACTTGCTAATCCGTGTTGGAGGAATGTTGAGATGCAGAATGTCACCAGTCAAACTAGATTCATGACATCATTTTACTGCTTTACCCACAGGTGAAGGTGTCATGGCCCCCCTGTTCACTGAGCTGCCCTCCTAGTCTTGCCTCATATAGAGAAATACATGCTTAAACATCCCTAGAACAAACACATCCACTTTTGACTCTTGGTGTGTGTTTGGGATGACAACCTCCCATTTGAACGGCCATGTTGCTGCGGAGGGAGGAGGAAGTGGTGGAGGAGGTGGTGGAGGAGGAGGAGGAGGAGATGAAGAGCTGAGGGCAGGACAGCAGCATCGGGAAATGGCCGTCGACTGTCCAGGAGAGCTGGGGAGTCGGACGCTACCGCTCCGAAGATCAGCACAGCTGGAGAGGATACGCCAGCACCAGGTATGTGTAACACACACACACACACACTTGCTTATTTTACTCATTGTCGAAACTGCAACAAATCATACACCTCAGGTCAACCAAGCTTTTCTTAAAAGCTATACTAGTTCAAAACAAGAATGGAAAATAAGTACAATTAAAAGACCTGTGTGCTATGTCACAATCCCTACCCAGTGATATGTCAGCATATACATTAGAGATAAACTGCTCCTACATTTCCCATAATGCAACACAAAACAGCCAATTGGTCAGGGGCCAGTGTATAGTCTGCCATGTCTCTCAGCCAAGTCTGCAAGAAAAAATCACTCTGTGATCACCTAGACTCATACAGCGAACATGTCCAAAAAGAAAGTAGAGAGGCTGGATGGTGGAAGACAAACTGAGAAACCTTTTAAAAAACCTCCTCTCACATGAACCATGAACATTTCAGTCATAATTCTATCTATGATGCATTTATTTGTGTGTCAGGAGGATCTTCGTCGCCGTAGAGAGGAGGAGGGTCGGCAGCTGGACCTGAACGCCTCGATCAGACTCAGGAAGCTCTCCCAGCATCCCAACATCGGCATCGACAACCCCACATTCCTGCAAGACACATACACACCGCAGCAGCCAGCACTCGGCAGCCAGCACACACACGCACTGCTGGGTAAAAACATGTGCACACACATGTGCACACACATACACATAGAGGAGAGGAGAACTGCAGGTCACTGGTGTAGTGAAGCTCTCAGACAGAAAGGAAAGAAACGAGAGAGGTAAAGATTTGAAAGATCACTAAAATTTGAAATGAGGGAGAGGAGAAGAAGAAGAGGGGAAAAGAAAGGGAGGGTGAAACTAAAGAGATGGAGGGAGAGAGAAAGCTGGCTCAAAGGGAAAGGAATGTAAGGGAAACATGTCTGCCATCAGGGAGGGAATTCCTCAGGGAGGGAGAAAAGGACTTGAGGGCGACTTAATTAAAACTGTGTTAGGGGTGGCAATGTTGACACACATACAGGAGCACACAACATAGAACAAAAGTCTCTCACAAACACATTAATCTGAAGCCAGGACAAGCAGGCTGTCCTTCTTACCCTCATCTGATAGTAAAGTAAATCTCAACTTTTGAGCCTTTTTTCAGCTTTTGTCTTGTGTGGGTTTATATGTAAAAGTCAGTGGTTAGTAATGTGAATGCATTTGTTTTTCTTGCAGAGTTGGAGGAGTTGCTGCTGTCACTGAAGCAGGTCCAGGGCTGCTTGTCTGACCAGCAGAGTCAAAATGACATAGAACTGGTTCTTGCACTACTAAACAAGGTAATATATAATATATAATAATAAAGGGAATTAGATGGAAAGAGCTTCGAGTCAAATTGTAATTGTGGTATTTTTCAAGACTTTATAAAGTACAAGGGATTTACAGAGTGAGCAGTGTTGTCACTGCTGTCTGAGCTGGAGCATCCATCACAACGGGAGCCGCACTAGATTCCCACATTTGGAATGAAGGCTTCAGTATGGGTAGAGGAGGCTGGATGCTAAAGATTGACCATTCAGATGTTTTTGGAAGTGAAGCTACTGATATTAAATCTTCTTAAATTGCATATTTTTATGCCCAAAGCCAACAGTAATTGAGTGCGGCCTGTAGAGGTGGCCCCAAGTAGTCGAAGATTCGATGTTTCGATAGAATCATCGCAGAAGAGTAATGAAATGAGGATCATACCATTTTGGCTGCATGGTGGTGCTCAATGTCTGATTTTACATAGTTGGTTTTCTCCCCAAAAGTTAATATACAGCCTGTTATGATATAAATATCAACATATAATGCTATAAAGAAACATGTGAAAAGAAAGAAGCTTTTTAATGAATCTTAAAAGTGTGTGAATAAATCCAAAATTGTAACCCTAACCATTAAGAAAGAGGGGGTCAGTGTTCATGTGTGGGCAGAGCATGTTATGTGTGTGTGGTAGGGGAGAAAGAGAGATGGAGTATCAGCTGCACCGGAGTTGTGTGTGCACCTTACGGGACGTTTGAATCATCTGTCACCACTGATAAACCACACAAAGAATTATAGAGCGATTATATCATTTTTAAACAGTCCTTGGAATACACCCGCGAGGAACCGCAAGGTGCATGCAGTTCTCGTTGGGTACAACTCTGCAGAAGATTGGTGAATGCCAGGCGAGCAGAGAGAAAATGGTAAACAATAAGCCTCAGTTTAGCTGTAAATGTACAGTGTAAGTTACAGTGTGTAATGTGCACCTTCCCAATATTAATGCAGAGCTACCACACACACAGACACGTGATTCCACGATCAGTTGACTAAAGGCCAGACTGGACAATTCGACTATTGTGGCCATTGAACTTAAGCTGTGCCACTTTAACAGGGCTCCTCTTCTTGAGTCACATGTAAACAGTCCAAATCACAACACTGCAGCCGCTAAACACATCTAAAGTCTGTATCAATTCCCCTTTCTACACACCTTTCCTACATGTTTGCTGAAGAAGCCGAGACTCTGTCCCACCCCACCCTTCTAGCACAGCTGATTATCATCTGATTTAACACAATAGAAAAATAATTGCCCAGAACATTAATTTGACTTCAATTTATAAACCAAAAGAAAAGATTTACATCACCCCAATCAATCAAACTGTGAAAATATAATTTGCAATCAACGCAAAAATAATGACTCAGAACAAAATTATTCTAACAGTGTTGCTGCTGTTTGGTCTTTTTTTGTTTAGTCCAACCACTTGATTATTTGATCATTGGCAATGTTTTGATAATCCATTAATAGTAATTTTTCAAGCAAAAATGCCAAAAACTTTCTGATTCAAGCTTCTCAAATTATGTAAGTATTTCATGCATTTCTTTGTCGCATATTGAATATCTTTAGTTTTTAGACTGTTGGTTGGATAAAACAAGTTACGTGAAGAAGTCACCTTATGTGACATCATAATGAGCATTTTTCACAGTTTTCTGTTTTCATTTATAGACGATGACTAATTGATAATGACAATAATCGTTAACTCCAGCCCTGCATTTTAGCTGACCACACTGCAAAGCTGTTGTCATGAACCTGTATTTAGGATTATTTTTTCAGACAACTTTGTGAAAATGAAATGACAACGTCCCACTGCAGCAGCATGTGAATTACTGTTGGTTAACAGGTAGCGTTTATGAGCTTAGCTCAGTCACTGGTTATTATGCTTGTTCAGGTGTCTGACAACAGAAACACAAAAACAACTTAATTGTGAGTTGGGCTACACTGAAACCAAACCAGGTGTTTTGTCTTATAAGCCTTCAAAACCATTACTGAAATTGGGGTCATAATTCAGTGCTCATCCTAACTACCCTGTAGTAAATGATCAAGTAGATTTTCTGGCAGTTTAACAACAGCAATTGGAAAAACTTTTAAACAATGTAAAAACAGGGAGTTATGTTAAAGGAGGGCATGCATATACTTCATGTGTGAGCTCCAGTTGAGTGGAATCTGACAGAACATGCTTTCTTTTCCCCCATTTAGTCTGATTTCCAGTCAGCGCTGAAGATCCATAATGCAGTGTCCTCCAGCATGCACCGACCCTCTCCTCCATACCCACACACACAGCAGGCACTTCAGCTGGCCATGGAGGTAGGATCGTGGTCATCTGACAGAATGCTAACAAAAACACAATCGCGCACACAGTAACAGTCCGTGTCAGCGAGTGTGTAATAACGAGGTTGGAGACAGAGCGGCTCTGTTAAGCATCAATTAGAGCTGAAAGACTAACACTTACAGTATGTGCGTGTCCACACACAGGCACACACACACTTTTGCAAATACACGCATTCCAGTTAGCCAACTCTTTTATTTTGTGATCATATTTTTAAATAAACTGCCAGTTTAATATGTGGTACCAATGTCAGTTTTGGCTCAAACTGCATTTAATTTGTCAGAAGGACAGAGCCAAAGACTGACGGAAATGTTTTAAAGCAGAATCTAACTCTATAAAGTTGGATTTTTTTGACTATGAGATGACACCAGGTTGATGATAACCACTTTAAGAGAAGCCAGCTTACCAGTACGCTTGTCCGATCAGTGCTGCAATTACTTTTTTGCCACAGTGTTGAGTTGGCTCGCCATAAGAGCTATTCATGGCTCATTTCAGTGGAATCTCATTAAAGAAGCAGCACTATTTCTGCTCCATGTGGGCATCTCCGCCCCCTGCCCTGCATTTGGCTTTATAGGAACAAAAGCTTTTATTTCATACTGTATTCCCAGAAACCCCCTTTGTCATTGTTAATGGAGTGGAAAAGAAATGACAAAAATACAAACAGCCACAATGGGCAAGACAATTTGATGTACTCTAAATGCCTTACCATAGTTCAAGTATTATTCATAGTTTTAGGTTGTATTAGGCCAAGTGGAGAGTGAAACGTCTTTAAATCCTTACCCTTTTTACCCATTAGGGACAAATTTCACAGATTTCATGACATGATGATATTAGTAAATAGCTGAAGATGTATAATTTAGAGCGTAGATGGTTCCTGTCCCATTTTAATATTCCATGTTAGCTAAATACATTGTTATTCCTTATTACCCTAACCGCCCTTGTAGTTGTCCTTTCAATTCTTCTTCCTTGTTTATTTGTCTTCCCATGATGGGCCTGCATCCCAGTTTTTTGGCCCTTACTGTCCTGCCAGTAGGCCCCAGACCAGATTACTCCTTTGATTATAATGAATAGGGAATAAACTCATTTCTTGTAATCTGAGCCAAGCTTTAAATGATAGGTAGGAATTTGGCTGTAAATATAATCAACTTTAAACTTTTTTGCAAATTGGCCCCACCAGGCCAGTGGGTTTGAAACTTACTGGCCCCAAGACAATTTTTACTGTCCCTCCCTCCAAAAGTTGTAATTTAGCAGTGTTACAACAAAACCAAAAACTTATAAGTTATGTTATTCATGTTTAATCGTTCATTAAATAGCCTACATCCTGGAAATAAAAAATATTAAACCAAAATGTAATCATTTAAAATGATAAAAATACAAAGTTAAGAGTTAACAATCAATTTACTTTTAAAACAAAGCATACTAGGGATGCACTGAATGTTCAGCCACCGAAATGTATCGGCCGAAAATAGCAAAATAATAAGGCCTAATAAGCCAAAAGAAATTTTACCGAACAATTAGGTTGACATGTCAGCAGTGTGGAAGCATTTTGAAGTGTCTGAGAAAGATGCAAAAATTGCTGTATGCAGACACTGTTCTGCTGAATTGTCTCCTAGCACATCCACTCCATCTGTGGCTGACTTTATAGAAAAGGCAACAAACGGTCTGACCCGCTTTGAGTGTTTCTGTCACTCGTTTGTGAGAAGGCAATTAAGCTAGCCGCACCTAAATTTGGAGTGCACACGTATTCAAGCCTTTTATGGTAACCAGAGCGAGCTGACAGGCAGGTTAGCGACTTTATCCTGTCAATTTGTCTCTTTACAAAGACAAGTGCTGCAGTATGAGTCCTACCTGAAGAGAGGCGGTGAAGTCTTCATGTTACGCCATATGAGAACCACATCCAACATTATTTATCAAACCGCGTCGGATTTGATGAATTTAGCGCGAGGAAACATACGTGACAACGTCCGGGATTCAAAATAAGGTGTCTATACAGGATGGAAATAAGATTAATTGGATTATATTCACAGAAAGTATAAAACATATTACATGTGTACATTAAAAGTAAATGGACACATGTAATTTACTTTACCGGACCCTCTTAGCCCATTTTGACTATTTAATGCATCATGCGATGCTTAAAAACAAAAAAAGGCAAAATAAATGGGAAAAATGTGCAATTTCTTTCATTATTTGGTTTTGGCTTCGGCCAAGAATTTCCCTTTCGGTGCATCCCTAAAACATACTAACAGGCTGTTAGAGAGAATGCGGGGTTATGTTCCGTCTCCATGGTTTCACTTTCAGACATCAGAGGTTGCCACTTGATTGAGAAATAACATTTGATGTCCTCACTACAAGTCATGATTTGCCAACGGTGCGCACCAAGAGCTGCAAAACAGTTGCGGGATGTTGAGTTTCTAATGCAATTGTTTCGTTTTCATTTTTTTAATACTAATGTTTTGTACTGGCCTGATCGGGCCAGTGAGTTGCTACTTTTTCCAGTCCCTGGGCCATCGGGCCACCGTTATTGTCGAGCCCTGCAAATAATCATTTACTGAAAATGACTCAAGCAAGCAAGCCACTTAACTGACTGGTGGACTGACTGATCAGTGCATCAACTAATTACTTAACTGTTTGACTTTTTTATTTAATTGATTGCAGAAAGATAAATCCTGTTTATTAATTTTGGGTCTTTACCATTGTTACCATTGTTTCTATCATTACGATAACACTGAACTCTCCTAGTGCATTCTGTGTTATGCTCCGTAATGTCCGCAGTAGCTACAGGAATAATATATATTAGTTGTGGTAATATTTCTCATGATGATACAGTTATGTTTTATGTTGCCATGGTTTCAGGTCAGGAATCTCATCCAGCCAAGTCAGAACAAAGAGGGACTTGAACTCGACAGCCTGCTGTCAGACATACACATTCAGGTAGAGACACACACACACAGCTGTATTGGCAAATAAACAGAAGAATTCTGTAGTGGTGGTCACTGCTCTGATCCCATAGCTGAGTTGTATGTGTGCGTGTGTGTTTTGCAGTCATTGCTCCTGGCCCATGACAGCATTGCAGAGAGGGAAATGCAGCCTGAGCCGCTGCCCACCCAAGGAGAAACGCTGACCCAGTGGGGAGGAGAGACTGTCAAGATAGTTCGCATAGAGAAAGCCCAAGACATACCACTGGTAAGACCAACACTCACTCGCTCAAGATTAAGGAGACAGCCGTTACATTGAGAGCTGACATCCTACCACACTTCCACTTTTAGCTTTTATTCAGCTAGCTTTAATTGCTCAGTGTTATTGCTCATGGAGGGGTGACTAGGGTGTGGAGTTTTCATGTTTTTCCACTGCCTGCTTGGGTTTCCTCCAGGTGCTCTGGTTTCCTCCCACAGTCCAGTTAGTTTAATGGGAGACTATAAATTACCCGTTAGTGTGAGTGATAGTATGTCCGTATATTGCAGCTCTGTGATGTCCAGGGTTCCACCTGCCTCTTCCCCAGTGTGAACTGGAATCAGCTTTAGCTGCTCCCTGACTCTGCACTGGATAAGTGTGTATAAGTAAAGGACAGATTAATAAACAACCCCTTCCATTAATCCGCTAAATCTTATTCCAGGCTAAAGGTGCAGCTACTATACTGGCTAGCAGGCTTTGAATGCCTTCTAATTTTACAGAAATCAAACACGGATTATTTTGGTTAGGTATGCAAAAGCATTGTGTGAGTTTCTTCACCTTTGAAGAAAATCCACTGAAAGTAATGTATTTCAGTCTGACATTTTGTAGCTCTAAATGCTAGCTCTGATAGTGAAAACAGCAAATGTTCAGAAATTGTGACAAGGGCACAGGTGCAGATTAGTAGGTGTTAAATAAACTCACCCGTCATTCTGTTTTCAAGTGCACCGCATGTAGGTCAAAACCAAAACTAACGTTAGTGAGTGATATCTGCAGTTGTGCGTTCACTGTCGCTCCATAATGTAACATTTCCTGCTTGTCCGTTAACGTAATACCAGATAACATCTCTCTCTCTCTCTGTGTTTCTGTGTCTCTGTGTGCCCGCCCAAGTAAAGTATATGTTGAAAACACTGTATTAAAGGTTAGTGCACGCTGTAGGCTTATATTTTGTAACTATTACACCTTCAACCAATTTTATTGTCATCCGTGTATCATGTGACTATTTTGGTCAAGTCATGACTGAGTGATCATGCCTGCAACTTTGAATAACCCAAGATGGAGGTATGAACCAAACCGTGGATTTGATGTAAGCAAAATACAAATACTGTTGGAAAATAGATTACAATGATTTTTTTTATTTTAGCAAACAAAGGTTTAAATGTATAAAACATGTGTCTCAATAAATGTCTCCCAGAGTCATTATAATGATTTTCTGTTTATTGTTCAGTGAAAAGAATTACTGAACACTCTACTAGAATTTTTTAAAACATAGTTTCATTTATCATTACCAAGTGTGGTGTGACAAGTAATCGTGATATGGATTACAGAGGTCACGTTACCCCCAGCTCTATCAGCAGCTGTGACTCCCGTAAGGCTTTGAAGCTTTAGCACTTCAGTGGCTAAGAATCATGGGATATGGGAAATGTCAGCAGTAGCTGAAGTGAAAATAACTCTGAAAAACACGTTCTTTGGCCAGTTTTGCAAATTATGCTTTGTTTTTTGCTCTGTAATTGATGTCACCATTTGTCCATCATTCTGTGATTTCTGTAGGGGGCGACTGTTCGTAATGAAATGGACAGTGTGGTGATCAGTCGTATTGTTCGAGGCGGAGCAGCTGAACGGAGTGGACTTTTATCAGAAGGAGATGAAATATTGGAGATAAATGGCATAGAGATCAGAGGGAAAGATGTCAACCAAGTCTTTGATATTCTTGTAAGTATACCCTTGGGCTCATAGTTAATACACTTCTTTGTGTAAGTGATAAATACCACCACAGAACGACTGGTCATTTTGTATTTCATTTTCAGTAATTATATTACAGTTGACTATTCCAAGTGTTAACATTCATTTATAGCTTTTTTTTTTTTAATGTTTCCCATCCTACTTGTACATTGTACCTCCTTGCCACTGATTTGTGTTAAGATGATCATTTCTTGTGTAGTTTCCTTTATATTGATAGCAGTATATGTTCACTAAACTGGGTACAACAGCAATGATGAGGCAGTCTTAAGGTTAAATGCACAATTTAAGTAAGAGTAACTTAATGCTGATAAATAACTGCTTTATATTCTGTGTATGTGTGTGTGTGTCTCAGGCGGACATGCACGGCCTCCTGACTTTTGTGCTTATTCCCTGCACTCAAAGCAAACCCCCTCCTGTCAAAGAGTCTGTGGTGAGTTCGGAGTCCTGAATAAAAGCAAAAAGTACAGACTCGAAATGTTTCCGGCTAGAGATGTACGCCGTCCTGTCTAGTCTCATGAATTTGTCTGTCTTCCTCCAGACCCATGTGAAGGCACATTTTGACTATGACCCGTCGGATGACCCCTATGTGCCGTGCAGAGAGCTGGGCTTGTCCTTCCAGAAAGGAGATATTCTCCACATTATCAGCCAGTCAGACCCCAACTGGTGGCAGGCTTACAGGGACGGAGATGAGGATAACCAGCCGCTAGCTGGACTGGTACCAGGTACTACTGTGTGTCTGTCTCTGTGGCTGGAGTCTTTTGTCGGAGCTCTTTGTTGGGGCATTTAAAGACTGCTTAGTCAAACTCTTGGGGGCAAATGCAATAGATGGGTAGCTGTGACATTCCGCTGTATAAGCTTTTGTTCCTCTCTGTACTCCATGATATGACTGCTGGTTGTTTTCCCTCATATCCCCCAATTTTTTTTTCCCACAGGGAAGAGTTTCCAGCAGCAGAGAGAAGCCATGAAGCAGACCATCGAAGAAGACAAGGAGCCTGAGAAGTCTGGTCAGTTCCTCTGCTCTCTACACTAGAACCTGCTGACTGTAAACAGCCAGTTTAACCTTATAGTTTGGCTAACTCACAGGACACCATTTTGTGTGTGTTTTTTCCACACCCACACATGCATAAATTCCAAGTGAAAGATGTGTGTAAAGTAACATTTGTGTGTTTCTATACATTAAAGGCAATAAGCCTTGTAGCTCAAACATGTATTTTAAATTGTGTACAGGGAAGCTGTGGTGTGCGAAGAAGAACAAGAGGAAGAGAAAGAAGCCTTTGTACAATGCTCACAGGAATGATGGTATGGCCTGTTTTGCCTGTCTTTCTGTGAGTTATCAAATGTAATTGTGTCACAACTTTCATGTGCATATAAACTGCCAGTACTTGTAGACACATGTCTGCATGAAAGTGTAGTCACGGAAAACCAGCTGTGAGGTGAATCACATCACATTTTCTGTTTAGGGCTTTTTAGTGATTGTTGCGCTCTAAAATGCCTCACTGAGATTGCCGACGTGTGACACCGTTTTGCGGGAAATGACATTTGCAGAAAAGTTGCAATGATTGGTCAAAATTGCAAGTCACACCGAATTCACAGTGATTAGTTGAATTTGTGTTAGTAGTTGCGACGACAACAACCTTGAGGGACTGTTTAATGGACTACGGATTTCTACGTATATGTTATTTGTGCAGTACGTAGGCTATTTGGGGTGTGCAATATCACATTGTGCAAGGGTTGTGCTACATTGCGGGGAATGCAGCCAAAAGTGTTGTTCAGTCAAAACTGGCATTGGAAGGAGTCGGTGTTTTACTATATAGGTAACTGTCTATATAGTGTATATGACAGCATGTGTTGTGTTGCATGTGAATATGTGTTGAGAGATTCTTTATTTCTGTTTTTTGTGTTGTCTTGTAAAGCTGCAGAACGGACAATTTCCCTTCGGGGACATTAAAGTATCTTTTCTTATCTTATCTATCTCCAAACAGCATTATGCTTCTTATTTTAGTGTCTTTTTAGTCTAAAATTTAGAATAGTTGCTACATGATCATATCTGCTATAGTATAAAGGAAGTAATAAATAGAATAGGCTCCAGAGTGAGAGTCCTATATCCAGGAAGCATTTGCTGTGCTAACAAGAGAGAAAGATAAGAGAACGTGTACATCTACCCTCTACACAGGCCTGATGACATTTCCATTCATAAAGGCTAAATACATCACTACATTACTACAGGGTGTCCGCGGGGTCTTAAAAAGTCAATTTTGCCTTAATCGCCATTTAACAGGGTATTAAAATTTGAAGATATTTTTTTCAATGTGAAAATCCTGTTTGTCCAAAAGTTTGTTTGCTAAAAGTGTAGGTGAACGTATCTATTTATAATGCGTAGCCAAAAATACTAGACAGGCAGAGAGAAGCGACTGTGATTCCTTTCTGTAACGTTAGGCGCGGGGATCCACCGAGTGCCTATTTCACTCTTAAATGCTCCAAAAAATAGATCCGTGCGAACCGGAAAATGATTTACAAGTAAAACAAGAGCGAGATGTGCCACCAGCAGCGGAATCGGTAAGACAGAAGACAACAGGGAAAATTCAAGGAGCGTGTGGGTTTGGCTAACGTTTGGCTATTTAGCTAAATCTCTGCCTTTTATTGAAACATGTTGAACTTCTCATGAAGCCGATGGTATCGTCGGTGTCACTTTTTGTGAACAGATCAATCACTGGATGGAGGGGGATTTAAAAAAAAAAAGAAAATAAAAAAAAAGTTTGATGTGCTGCAACAAACTTTATAAATGTTGAACTCATTGTTCTGCATAAATGGTTATGATTATTGACGAGTTAGTAGCCTGCCCGAAATCAAGGTTGGTTATCACGTAGCCTGGAGCATTTTTCTTGCACAAGTTAATGAATAAAAAACAACCCCAAACTTAAACAGCTGTAATTTGAATTAATATTGTGGCAAGTTATATACTATTATATTGAACATAATGAATATATTAATATCAAACTTACAGTTTACTATTACGTTAACAATGTACTTTTAACTTAATGTTATAATATTATACTAAGGTTATTCATCACTCAGTTTATTCTCTTCATCTTTGTTCCCTCCTGCCCTATTTGAATTTTGTTGTATTGATCAAGTGGTCGGTGAAAGTTATCACACATATCATTGCGGGCAAGCTCACATTATCTAATTTAAATCAGCTAAAACACAAAATTACACTGTGTTTCACATGATTTGCTGTAATATTGTGTACATAAATGTCACAGCTTATGTAAGACAGTTGCTTTTCGCAGGAAATCTGACCAGTCCTTCACATAGAAAACAATAGGCCCATACAGGCTGTTATAGGCAACTGGGAAAGTTGGTGAATGCCTCAATTTTTAGGTGGCGTTACAACCTGATGGCATATAGGCAATAAATAAAGGATAGAAATATACTTGAATTCCTTTTAAAACTTCAAAAATATCCCTTTTAAAGGTGTGTGGCTGATTTAATCGTTATAGCTCAAAGTGGCGCGGCAGTCTTAAAATATGTTGTTCCTGTATATATACCCTGTACTAAGATATATTTGTTATTCTTTTGTTGTTCTAAACAGTTAAGATCAAATATTTATTACTGACTTGCTGGCCTACATCAGGATTAATATGTCTTAGATATGTCAGCATAGTTGTCGTTTCCTCTCTCCATACGTTCTAGCTCTCCTAGCTCCTAGCTTTCCTGTTTGTTTTCCTTTTTATTTTACCTCTATTCTTTGACATCCTCACCTTCTCCATCTAACCTGCCTTCCTACGGGTTTTCCTTTGGACCTTATTATAACTTTTTCATTGTGTTTCTATTGGCCCAGATATTGATAATGATGACGTTCTCACCTATGAGGAGATGGCTCTGTACCACCAGCCTGCCAATAGAAAGCGTCCGATTGCATTGATTGGCCCGCCCAGCTGCGGGCAGGCGGAGCTCAGGCAGAGACTGCTCAATAACCAACCAGAACGCTTCGCTGGAGCTGTGCCTCGTAAGACCTACAAACACACACGCTGTACACTGTGTGCATATGCTTTTATGTGTTTGTGGAAATACTAGCCTGTGTGTGTGTCTGTGTTGCAGACACCACGCGGAGCCGCCGAGAAGGCGAGATGAGTGGCCGAGACTACCACTTTGTGTCTCGTCAGACCTTTGAGGCAGAGCTGGCCGCAGGTAAGATCACTGAATACCCCGATATAATTCTCAAGCTTAAAGTAAATTAAGAAAAGGGGTTTTACTCCCTGTTTACATCACACACAGGACGATGTCAGCTGTTGTTCCAAAACTGAAAGGGGCAACAAAATCCAGCAATATTATTATTATTATTAGCATTTAGTACTGACCTATCCATTCACCCGTTTATCTACGGATTTACATTACTAATGTACAGACTGATTGTTTGTGAAAAACCTGTGGACATATATGTTAAAGAACCCAAACAGTTTTATATTGTGTTAATTTCTTTTTATAAGCTTTTTCAAACTTTCATGTATGTTTCCGTTAAGGCTGGGGAAAAACAAGCCTGTAACTAAAGTAGGGCTGCAGCTAACGAGGATTTTAGTAATCGAGTATTCTACTGATTTGTTTTCATCGATTCATTGAGTACTCATATAAGAAGTACTTTTGCTTGCCTCTCCGTGGACTTGATGCCAGACCGGGTGCTTTCTGATCAGGGCCGTCGTGCTGTTAGGGTAGGCTACGTTAGTTTTGTTTTCCGGAGGACAGACTGTAACATTACAGGGTTGTTTGTTTTGGACACTTTCTTCTTTGTCCCTCGCTATTTTCTCTCTCTTCCTGCTCTTTGCAAACAGCGCCACCATAATCACGTCGTGTTCACCTGATCACAGCTTAAGCACCGTGCTATATAGTTATATGGATCAAACGAAGCATCGATACAAAGGATTTGTGTCGATGCTTTTTAGTAATCAAATTAATGGATAAATCGTTTCAGCCCTAAACGAAAGTGAGTGGAAAACCATCCCAGGGTCCAAAGGTTGGATAAAGTATCAATTTCAGACTGGAAGGAGAAAATGAAATGTTACATTACAAGTAGTTGCCAGCACATCTATCAAATGTGACAAATGACATTTCCCCTCCTGTGTTTTTCCCAGCAAAGCTGATCGAGTCTGGTGAGTTTGAGAAGAACCTGTACGGGACGAGTACAGACTCAGTGAGACAGGTCATCAACACTGGAAAAATCTGTGTGCTCTGTCTGCACACACAGGTTGGTACACACACACACACACACACACACACACGGCAGAGAGAGAATCTTTCCACTACAGAACAGAAGTTCAACAGCTGGTGGTTGAATCCTAACTTACGTGTGTTTGTGTGTACAGGCTCTAAAGGTGTTGAGGAGTTCAGACTTGAAGCCTTACATCATCTTCATAGCTCCGCCCTCCCAGGAAAGACTCCGGGCCCTATTGGCTAAAAACAACAAGAACCCCAAGGTTCCTATCTAACTGACTATACTCTTTGTTTACACTCGGTCAGAGATAAATATCACTGGTGTTTACATCTCTAAAAAGCTAAGTAATGCTTTTGTGTGTGTGTGTGTGTGTGTGTGTGTGTGTGTGTGTGTGTGTGTGTGTGTGTGTGTGTGTGTGTGCGTGTGTGTGTGTGTGTGTGTGCGCGTGTACAGCCCGAGGAGCTGCGGGACATCATCGAGAAAGCCCGGGAGATGGAGCAGAGCTGCGGTCACCTGTTCGATGCTGTCATCGTCAACACGGACCAGGACAAAGCCTATAACGAGCTGCTACGACTCATCAACAAACTGGACACTGAACCCCAGTGGGTGCCCTGCTCCTGGCTGCGCTGAAAACGCAGCCACACACGCCAGTCTGAGAGTGCACATTAGTAGACATTTAACAAACTGGAACCGTAAATGTTGTGTGAGAGTTCCGGCGGAGTGTCGGGCCACTGTTATCTGAGATTTTGAGAGTTGGAAAAGTCATCATGTTACGGAAAGAAATCTGTAATTTTACAAGAAAAGTGCTTACTACTGTGAGAATTAGCTGTAAGTCACAATACTACAAAAGTTGCAGTTTTACTTGAAACATTCAGAATTTCACTAGAAAAAAGTCATAGTATTTATATATCAAGTCATATTTTAGGGGAAAGGTGGTTATTTTGAGAAGACAATGCACATATATGTCACCATAAAATAGATTACATGTTTTGTTGTCCTGACAGTCCATATATTTATATTATACAGTTACTAATACTTCTCTGACATTGGCAGTTCCCAGCAGTTACCAGCAGAGCAGTAGTATACTACGATGAAATTCTGCCTGCCTGCCTCTCATATCATTTCAACAAAGTCTTAATGTAATTGGTGTCATTTCATTCATATCAAGGTGCTCAGTGGTTAAACCTGTAACCTCAGGTCATCTATATTCCCTCGTTTGACACTTAAAAGCTGACAGACTGGCATCAGCTGTTTCCCATGGCTGGTTATAAATTTATTAAAAATCTAATTTTACAACTTAATTTAAAAAATATTACCCTTTTTTGTAAAATTAAAACATAATCCCATATTAGGACTTTTTCTTGTAAGTCTGTGACGTAATTCTATGACTGTGTTCATAGCATGGGACACTTAGTTCTCGTAATAGATTCTTCTCAAAATATTACAACATTGTTCTAGTAAAATTGTAATACTATGACTTGTTTTCTCTATACTAATTTAACAAATTTTAAAACATACAACATTTTATTCTTGAAATGATATTTTTCCTGTAACACTATGACCCCATCTCAAAATATTACAACTAAAATTTCATTCTCATAATTAAACTTTTTCTTGTAATTTTATGACATTTTCTCCGGAACTAAAACTTTATTACAACAACAGTTGTACAACAGTACAACTAATCGCAACATAGCTTTTATCTTAACCCTCATGTATCCCTTTAACATTAATTAATACTATGACTTTATGCTCAAAATGTTCTTCATATCTCAGATTTGAGTTTTTCTTACTGTTGACCCTGAAACGTTGTCACACTACAGACAGTAGATACACAGCATCTTCTAGAATGTATTGACCTGGTGTCACTGGTATTGATGAATATAAACTTTTTGTGCGTCGACTGTCCTGAAAAACACTGATCTTGGATGGTCCCTACTGGTCCATACTGTTTTTATTTAGCAGTGATATTTATATGAAACTGGTGTCTTTCTTATCGTCACCAAAATATGGACCTGGAAAATACTTTTTTTTTTGTCTGCTTCACCTAAAGAGTTATTCTTTCTCAGAATTGTGAGGTCTTAACTATAATGCATCCTTCGACTTTACACTGTGATCATTTCAACCATTATGATTTTAAATATTTATATTACGACAGTCAAATTATTTTTGCTCTTTGCAGTGCCGAGAATCACTGTAAGCATTTGATTTTGTATTCAAGCAGCTTCATTTTTTTATTGAATAACTCGGGCGTGGCGTGGTGTTGGTCCCGAGCACAAAACGTGTACAAATGAGGCCCCTGTGAGGAGTAAACGTGAAAGTCTCACACACGGAGACGTCAAGTAAAAATGTATGTCCACACTGAGCCACCACATTTATTGCTATGAAGAACACGCACTCCCCCCCCCGCCACACACACATTCTGTACAACACACCGCAGCAGTGGATTAGACGCTGACTTTCCCCTGTTGAAGGGAGTCTGGCGATTTATGGCCTGAAGCTGCAGCCTTCTGAACACTGACTGACTGACTGACTGACTGACTGGTTGAACGGCTGGTTTCTTGACTGGCTCGTCTGTTAAAGTGTACATTATTGCAATAAACACTAAAATAAAGGACATGGCACTTGATATTTCCTGGCTGTTTTTCCTGACTGCCATACGACAGACTATCACGTCAGCTGACTCTTTCTGTCCTGTCTGATCACACTTGAGTAGAAACGACCTCTCAGCCTGAGCCCTGACTGTTTAGAGGGTAACGGAAACGTGAACGTTGTACTTTGTAGATGTGCTCCTGATCGGCACATGATGCTGAATTTATTATATATTTAGTGTGTGTGTGCGTGTGAACGGATGTACGTGTGTTTGTGCCTGTCTTTGAAGACTGAAGTATTATTATGACCTGAAGTAGACCTGACACCACATCACTGTTAATTCTGGGTGGAGCATTTATATATTTGTAATATTAAAATAGATTTATGAAGTCCAGAATGCACCAGTTGCAGGTTTCACCTCCCCCACCTCCCTGCCACCGGTCCAGGAGGAGGAGGGGCTGAGTGAAATGAACTGTGTTGAATGTGAAGTTAATCGATATCACTTCTTGTTTATCAGACATCACTTCTTCCTGAGAAAATTTGCTTTTTGTATGAATATTCACAATGAATAAATAAATAGATGATTGATAGAAAATGACTCATGGCTCATTGTTTTGTTTTTTTAAGGTTTCTTCAATGACAGTTTTTTTCTAAAGACAGACTGAAAGTTATGTGTAAAAAAACTCCTGAAAGTTGAATGGAATTTGGCATGGTGTTCACATGCAAGCAGCAGCTTCTAGCAATTGAGACTGAAAGTTCATGTATGAAGTGTAGCATCTCACTTCAAACCACACAATCCACGTACTAGCTTTTCTGGGGCTTTCAATCGCATCCCATGGTTTTCATCAGTCAACTGAACAGGCTTCGATGACTTAAGTGAGGAACACCACACCAAAACTGGTTATCATGTACTGTAACTGATGTTCCCCAGTTCTTGTCGCTCACACTGTTCCAAACAGCAAGAATTCGTTAGTTAAGAATTGTAGAAGAAAAGAACCGATCCAAGATACAAGCAGCCAACCTGGATCATCTGGTTGGAGGCAGAGAACAGATGGACACAGCCATACTTTTTACTTATGAATTCTATAACTTTTAATGTAAAGGCCCATGGTCCAGCCACTCTCTGTTCACCACAGGCTGTGTGCGGCTAGCTATCAGCTCATCATTATAAGCTACATGTATGTTGCATGTGCTGGACGTGCCCTATTTGTTTGGTTGTAGACCTATGATCTTTTTAACCCAGCCCAGAAACTTAACTTTGGAATAGAAATCTATCTAGAATCTATCATCACTGCAACATGACTCTACAAAATGGGACCAAACACTGGACACAACAGATTTTTACCAAAATCCTAAACAATACGTATGTTCTTTTTTACTATTACAATTCTTCTCAAGTCAATGTACAGTCAGAAATAGTTATTTCAAAGTCTGTGGTATGTTTTTACCATTAACATTACTAATAGGAAGCACTCTGAGCATTGTTATAATTCAATATATATATATATGTCACATGTATATATATGTTTACAAGTAAATGAAGGGTGTGTAATGTATGATAAGATTCTTTATTTTTCGCTATTGTACAGATTGAGCACAGAGATGTTTCTACATTATGTGTTGCTGACAATCAAAATGTTTTGTTCATGTCTCTGCCTCTGGAGCCAATCCCAGCTGACATCGGGCGCAAGGCGGGGTACACCCTGAACAGGTCGCCAGTACACAACAATACAATAAAATAAATCAAATGAAGCATAAATGTACAGCGTGCAATAATTAACCGATACAGACCTACTGGATAATGCAGGTGGTAACTGTAATTATTGGCATTTAGCCAGATATATTTTAAGTACATTGAATTCACAGCACTGTAACAGTCTTGAGAATGGCATCACTTTATTTCTTGTCTCTCTAGAGTGAAATAACTAGTAGACCTGACACCATATCACTATTATTATTCTGTAGAGTAAAACTGAACATAATTCAAAATGCACCAATAGGATTGGAGGGTCCGCCCTCTTCAATTCCTCCCCCTTATTCAGTGCGAAATAACTCAACTTTGGAAAAACTACATTTTACAGTAGCTTCCGCAAAAGCTGAGCAGTCTACTGTGGGATGGCTTTTTGACGTAATATAAAGAGGCCACAAGGCGGCGCTGTTCTCCAGATTATTGATGCCATGCGTGACCTTTGAAGTGGGACAGTTGTCTCAGTGGACTGCCAAGCCACACTCCCCTAGATCCAGCATCAGGGAGAACAAGCTCTGTTTCTCAGAAATACTTTACCTTCATGGAGAGAAGTGTTTGGTCTGGTTCTCAATATGAAGTTGGTAAACTTGCTGTTTCCTGTCTGATCATGCCAAATCAAAAGCACACTCTGGGTGTGAGTCTTCCAAAGAAAGATTCTCCTGGTCTGATCCTTCACTCCTCCACATATCATCACGTCACGCTGCACTGATATCAGCATAAAGAAACTCACTCCAACTTCCCATGAATTTCCTCTGTACAGGTCAGTAAACATGGCGTGTTCACTAAATATTTCACATAGATGGTAACCAGTGGCCTTACAATAGTACAATTGTCACATAGACAAATACCAACATCTACTCATATAAATCCGCTGTGTGTTGGTTCGGTGCAGGTTCCTCACATATTTGATTTCATGTCACCAGTCAGGCCTACTCTTACTTTGCATTTGGCCTTTGTGTGTTTTTTGAGCTGAGCTGATCATCTTTCCTTTCATTTTCAGCCGGTTTGAAGAGCAGTCAGAGAGTCTCAAGGCAGAGCAAGAGGTTTACCCGCAAAGTATGCGTGTGTTGGCTTAAAGGGAAAAGTCACCCTAAAAAACTCAAACACTGTAAACACGGGGGGAGGGGGACTTCAGCATTATTTACCCTGCACTGTTGAAGAGCTACATGGATGGGAATGCTCCCCACGTCTTTGATAACCCAGAGAAAGCGATTGACTACATACAGAGACTTAAACCAGCTTCATCTGACATCCAGAGTTCATAGAATAAACTGGGAAGGCACTTGCCTTTTTTTTCATGGGGTTTGGTTACATGAGGAACATAACCATGAACGACTATTTCATTTGACATCATCATAAGAATCAGATACATTCTGTAGCGATCAGATTGGTCAGGTGTTTTTTCACTACACAGACAAGCACAAGCAAGCAACGGTTGCAGTTCTGATCGGCGAACATGTTCAGTTTCAGTGCTTAGTTTAGAACAAGACAAACTCACTTTGAGTCAGGGGATACATTAGGGAAACTATAGTCGGTTACAGTAAACAAAAACAAGCAAATTCCACAATTTCAGCAATACAATCTCAAGCAGGAACTTTGGTACCTACGCCCAGTAATATCAAAGAGTTTTTTACACTTGGCTTTATAGATCAGTTTGCTGTGCTACTGATAAGGAGATTAATTATTTTCTAAATGACCTAACCCTGAGTAAACTCAATAGCAAGCAACAAGAATATCTTCAAAACCCCATTACGGAAAGAAAGTTCTTCCAATGTCATTCAGATTAACATGATCCAAAAAATACACTGGCTCACTGACAATAATGGAACATTTAACTAGCCATAGTAATGTTAGTGACACTTTTAATACTATGACAGCAAAAATGTCTGCTATGATAAAAAGGTCTGTTGTGCATGGCTAAGCACTGTGAGGTGTTATTATTGAAATCTGTGCTTGCTAAATGTGTAGGTAATTTTCACCTAGCCACATATCTGGTAAACTATCTGTTGGTGTGTTGTCTAGTGTCAAAAAGTAAAAAAAGAGTATGCAAAACACTGACAAACCTTATAAGACCGTAACATTAATTTATTACCAACACCCACTACATTACCTAACTGAAAAGTGATTTTTATATATTTTATTTTGGAAACTCACAAGGACGCTTAATATCTTGTTCAGTCTCAACTCTTCGGTTGGTTGAGTTAGTCTGGCGGCGACGTCAGAAATGACTGCACTGTAATTGGCTGATTTATCACTGAGGGCGGGAGTCGTGTTTCTTGCAGTAAACGGATTGGTCATCACTCCTGTCAATCAATTCCTCTCTACCTCTGGTCTCAGTCAGGTTGATGGAGAGGAGAGCGGTTGGGAGACGTGGTGGAGATGTAGCAAACAACGGAAACAACTATTTTACCGCTCCCTGTTTCCCCCGAACGTGTATTTTAATATTTTCAACTTTGTTTACTTTTCTTTTGTTGTTTCACGGCGGTTTCGCCGCTTTACGGTCCGAGTCGTGTATCCTTGGTAACGCGAACAACTGTCCTGCGAAGTTTGGATCAAGTGTTTCTTCGGACGGAGCACAAACTGGATATTTACCCGCTAAACCAACGTAACTAAGTCCGCGGTGCATATGAGCGTTTGATGAACTATTTCGAACAGTTTTTATTCATATTTAAGTTCTTTTTTTATTTTAAACCCATTGTTTAGGGAAGCGGGACAGCGCGAGACAATAGTGGTGTGAGAGAGGGGAGAGCTCGTGCAGGGGGGAATCGATGCCTCGCGGGGGCTTTGTTCTGTCCTGCATTGAGACCTACCGCGAGCCTGCTGCGGATATCGACTGATTGACCGGTGGCTTAATGATTGTTTGGTGACTGATACGCGGACTCGGGAGCCCTTTGTAGCCGCCATGGATGTGACTTTGTCCGAGTTGCTGGCCACTTTCATGGAGTCACCGCTGGTGGTGTGGGTGAGTGGGAGCAGCACGCGCACACACACAGTTGTGAGGATGATGCTCACGCACTGCTGACCTATGTCTCTGTTTTACTTTCCCTCTTCATTTTCTCTTAGAACTAACCGACTGAGCAGTCGAAACAAACAACTTTGACCTCTATTGTGCCAATCTGCAGTGCTTTGCTCTCTGCACATTAACATTAACCCGTGGATTGACACTGCTCAGACTGTTACATTGCAGGGACAGGGGGAAGGTTTGCCAGGGGAAGAGCCTCAGATTAAGTGAGAGATATTGGTTGATATTTCTGGGACTTTCCAAATTTAGATCTCGTACTAAATATCAAACCGAAAAAGTTCATTCTCTGCTTCACTGGTTACAGCTGCAAGTCTAGGGTTTTTTCCTGTTCATCATATTTTGCTGTTAAAATGCTGATGCATACATTTAAAGACTTTCCTTCATGCAACCCAAATAGTCTCTGTTTTGGGGATTTTATCTGACTTGCTGATGTCCTAGGGGGGACTGTATTTAAAAAAAACGGTCACTATCTGCATTGGAGCAAGCAGCACAGCAGCTGATATTACAAATCTAGCCAGGTTTCAAACACAGACTGAGCAAATAATTGGTTAAAACTAACTGAAACCAAATCCAGAGCAAAGCAGCATCCTTTAACCCACCATAAACATCAGGCGTGGGTTTTTTGTGCACCATATTATGCATATGTTTATTTACAGGCAGATTGTTTAAAGCACTTTTCGGTGCACTTAAAATGCTTCACAACATTAAAGGAAGGCAAAACACAGAAAGGATGTAAACGTTTGCTTGGGACCCATTTGCTCTTCCCTCTGCCCAGTATGGGCTCCCAGCCCAGACTACGACAACCATCAGAGCAGTCATCAGGTTATTA